TTAAAGCTATATGCAGATAGAGATGGGAGGTGAGAAACGAGATACATAAATCGTTTGGAGATCGTATTCCTTGTAGAGCAGACGAATCAAATGGTGATGGAAGTGTGCCTATATCTTAGCTAATGGTTAATTTTTTTAATGTGCAAGAATATAAAAGATATTATTATTCAGATGTTTGACATGTACATGAAGGTTATTTTGTTTTATGGAAAGTATTGAAACTTTAGTTTTACTGAATACATATGTGTTTGAGAATGTTTGAGTATCCCCTATTGATTGTGTATAGAATTGAGTATCCCCTAAACAAGCGGTTGGTAGGTTTTCTAATTTTTGCAACAGAGCATTCTGTTGCGGTCGATACTTTACCAAATTCTGTTGCGATTGTTTTTTTTCGTGGCAAATATTAGCAATGGAGTTGCTCTTGCTCTTTTTCCATAGCAAATGTTTGCAACGGAAAATATAGTTGCAAATTTCCGATGCAATATGTTGCAACGGCAATACCGTAGCAAACTGTGGCAACAGAATGACTGTTGCAGTTATTCCGTAGCAACAATGTGCAACGGCAATTCTGTTGCAACAATCTGATGCAAACATACTGCAACGGAAATTTCGTTGCAGAAGTGAAATTGCAACAATGGTTTTTGCAACAGCACATTTGCAACGGAAATCCCGTTGCAATCACCATTAGCAACGGAAATATTTAAAAAGTGCAACGGAAACTGCCGTTGCAATTACGCCATATTCTTGTAGTGAATATATATTTTGAAAATACTAGGGGTATGCGCGGTCTGTGATGGTCCGTGATACTATCGAAACCTATCACAGACCGCTCTTATTTAAACGGTTCGGTATCGTTACAGGATGAAGCCCAAAACTATTCAATACCATTTCGATTTGAAACAGAACGATACAATATAACACCCATGTCCAAACCGTGCCAAAAAATGAACATACATTACTCAAAGAATATTGAAATAAAGGCATAGTTTTGCATTAAAAAAACCACAACTTTATTAAATAGAAGTATTGATTTCAAATTCAAAAAATAAATAGAAGTATTGATTTCAAATTAAATAGAAGTATTGATTTCAAGATAATGAGTCCAAATTCAAAAAATAATTTTTTTTTCAATTTATACTATATCAGACTATTAATAACTACAAAAATAATTCTAATAATAGTAATAAAAATAATAACAACAATAATAATGAAAGAATTTTAAAAATACATAATTCAACACGAAGTACTCTATATACGGTAAGATGAAATAGACAAATAAATATTTGAGATACTCCATATATAGCTTTGAACAATTCGATCCGTGATAATCGGTTTTAAATATTTGTATCACGGCCTCCGATCCCATCATATCAGTTCAATTTTGGTTTGTGATGAAAAAATCGACCTCATTTATAAACAATATAAGCAGTCGGGTACCATGCATTACAGTCCGGTATGATACTATGCTAGTTCGAATTTTTTGCCCACCCATAAAAAATACAATAAATTGAAAAGATACAGGGTATTGCACATAATCCAAGAGTAGTATTGTGAGATGGAAGGGGTATTAAGGCCTTAACTCTTAATGATGTGTTGTTAGCTACTACTTGTCCAATTATGTTGATTTTGATATGGGGAAAAGTGAGACATCACGAACAATATTTGTGGGTAGATTTCATGTTACGTGGGACG